CGTCACTGGCTCCTGCTCAGGGCTCTTCCTTGGCGTGCTGTCGGAACAGATCCCGGCGCGGGCAGGGAGCGAAGGGGGCAATGCGGTAGGGTGGGCGGGGCTCAGCCGGACCCGATGGGAGTGCGGTTCCACCTGCGGGGCGGCACAGACTTGGAAGAGACGAGGAGAGTGCCTGGGAGTCAGGTGGGAGCCAGGAATGCAGTGTAAACGGGGCGGAAGGATAACGTTTCAAAGGGTCAGGCGTCCTCAGAAATCAGGAAGTACAGGGGTGAACGACCCAAGACGAAGGAGTGGTGTGGACGTGTCGCTTTACAGTGCCAGCAGGAGAACATGCCCTGCGTCAGGACTGCAGTGTAGGCAGGAGTCCCTTCAGCAGGAGAAAATGTTCTGCAACAGGACTGGAGTGTGGACAGGAGTCCCTTGAGCAGGTGAACGTCTTCTGCGACAAGCCTGGAGTAGACAGCAGTCCCTTGAGCAGATGAACATGTGCTGTGACAGGACTGCAGCGTAGACAGGAGTCACTTCCTAGCGTCCAAGTGATTGGAGCCCTGAAGAGCCACCTAAGGAGAGGAGGTCGAGAACAGACACAGGGACACTCAGGAGACCACCACGGGCCGTGTCACCCATGCTGAGCAAGGGCAGAGGCTTTGCGTTTAGGTGGAGTATCAGGAGAGCAGAAAGGATTTAGTAGCTCTGTGCAGTGGTATCCATTTCCACAGAGAATTTGAGACAATCATTCGGACAATTATGACCTCCTTGAAGAGTTATTGAAATTAAGTGACTTATTGGGAGAGATTCTCTATAGTTATAGAGAACCATAGTCATATCCACAGTTCTGAAATCCAAAAACTCATGAAAACCAAAAGATTTTTTAAACTAATTTGACAGCACAGTGTGACCTGTACGTAGGTATAGTCTTTTTATGTAATGTAAAACTATTCATTTGTTTTACTGTAGACTTGCTTTTCTGGTTCTATGGTAGACCTGTGGAAATTATATAAAGTATGATATTTGCATTCTATTACCACTACAAAGTGCAGGAAAAAAATCTGAATTCTAAACACATTTAGTCCTATGGGTTTCAAATATGGGATTCTAGACTTGTAAGTCTTTGTCCATTTTTATGATGCCTTCTGAGCCAGCGTAACTGTTATTTAAAACAAGTTGCTCACCTTGATTTTTCACTCCCCAGCCTAGAGAACTGTGTGCAATGAATTTCTATTGTTTATGAATTAAAAAAACAAAAAAACAAGTTGCTATAGTAACTGCATTGCAGACCTCCCAAACTCTACCGCTTGGTGTGTTCTTCTCGAGGCTCTGCTACAAAGCTCAGGACAGGTTTGTGGATGGGGGGCAGTTCTTATTTGTATGTCTTCTTGTGGACCCATGGCTAGATTAGGGGCAGTGGCAATTCATGGAAAGCTTTTCTCAAGGTAACAGCAGAAGCATAGGCAGGCAAGGCCAACTGCACAGGCCAGTGTAAGTGTCTGCTTTTTTTTTTTTTTTTGAGTAAAAGTCTCACTCTGTCGCTCAGGCTGGGGTGCAACGGGACGTTCACGGCCACCGCAGCCTCAACCTCCTGGGCTCAGGCGATCTTGCCTCAGCTTTCCAAGTAGGTGGAACCACAGGCATGTGCCCGGCTAATTTTTTTTTATTTATTATAGAGACGTGGTCTTGCCAAGTTGTCCAGGCTAGTCTCGAACCCTGAACTGGGGCAATCCTCTTGCCTCTGCCTCCCTAAGTGCTGGGATTACAGGTGTGAGCCATCTGCTTACCTCGACTTCCCAAAGTGCTGGGAGTACAGGCTTGAGCCACTGCACCTGGCCCTGATTAAATACTTTTGCAGGAAAGGAATAAATCACACACTCTTTTGGCACTAGAAAACCTTTTTTTTTTTTTTTTTTAGTTGGAGTCTCACTCTCATCCAGGCTGGAGTGCAGTAGTATGCTCAACGGCCACAGCAGCCTCAACCTGCTGAGTTTTGTAGATCCTTCCACCTCAGCCTTCCAAGTAGCTGGACCCACAGTTGTGTACTACTACACCCAGCTAATTTTTAAAATTTTTTTATAGAGATGAGGTCTCACCATGCTGCTCAGACTGCTCTAGAACTCCTGAGCTCAGGCAGTTCTTTTGCCTTCATCTCCCAAAGTGTTGGGATTATAGACGTGAGCCACCGCGCCCAGCTTTTTTCTTTTTTTTGAGTTGCGGTGACCATGAGTAAGCCACAGTGCTCCAGCCTGGGCTACATACAGAGTGAGACTCCAACTCAAAAAATAAATAAAAATAAAATGAACAATTCATTGGGTTTTAGTACATCCACAATGTTGTACAACCCTTACCACTATCTAATTGCAGAGCATTTCCTCCCCCTGACAAGGAACTCCTTGAACATTAAGCACTTCCTCCCTATTAACCACTCCTGCAGTTCCTGGTGACCACAAACCTGCTTTCTATCCTCATGTATTTGCCTGTTCTGGGCATTCATATGCATGGAATCATACAGTATGTGACTTTTTGTGTCTGGCTTCTTTCACTTAGCAGAATTTGTTTGTTTTTTGAGTCAGAGTCTCATTTTGTCACCCAGGCTGGAGTGCAGTGTCACGCTCATGGCTACTGTAGCCTCAACCTGCTGGGCTCAGGTGATCCTTCCACTTCAACCTTCCAAGTAGCTGGAATCACAGGCGTGCACCAACACACCCGGCTAATTTTTTGATTTATTGTAGAGATGAGGTCTTGCCACCTTGACCAGGCTGATCTCGAACCTCTGAGCTCAGACAGTCCTTTCACTTCTGCCTTTCAAAGTGCTGAGATTACAGGTGTGAGCTGACTCACTCAGTCTTGAATGTTATTTTTAATAGACTTACTTGGATATTTCAAACATTGCTCCTGTGATACTTTTTGAAGTACTGTTGGATAGAAGACTTTCTGGTTAGACAGACTTTTCTGTTCAGCACCTTTAAGCTTCGAGATTATCCCGGTAGTTCTCCTCAGGGAAGTTTTTTAGTCTCTTCGTATATAATAGAAAGAAATCCTAGTTGCCCCTAGAGGAGGATTTCTTTTTCTTTTATTTGATTGAGCACATGTCTTGAGAGAAAAGCGTGACTGTGAATTCAAGTATGTGTGCTGTCAGTCTTCATCAGGTGGCTTGGAACGCAAACCCTTCCTCTCATTTGGTGTTCACGGGGCTTAGCCAAGAATGTCATGAAGCCTACTAGTGTCTTTTGCCAGGCTGCTTGAACAGAGGGGTCATTCACTTTCTCCATGCAGTCATCAATTGTTTTCTTTTTTTTTCTGAGTTGGAGTCTCACTCTGTCACCCAGACTGGAGTGTAGTGGCCACTCTCGGCCTCCACAGCCTCGACCTGCTGGGCTCCGGCGATTCTTCTGCCTCAGCCTTAAAAGTAGCTGGAACTACAGGTGCGCGCTACCATGCCCGGCTAATTTTTTATTTATTGTAGAGATGAGGTCTTGCCAAGTTGCCCAGGTGGGTCTCGAACCTGCAGGCTCAGGCAATCCACTCACCTCAACCTCTCAAAGCGCGGGATTACAGGCTGAGCCACCGAGCCTGGCTATCAATTGTTTTCTACTGTCCCTGGTTCACAATCAAACCTCCTGCCCTTTTCTTTGAATCGACAGGATCTGTTTGTTCACCAGGCTGATTGCAGCCTCACTGTTGCCTGCCTCTTTCCCACTGAGATTCATGTAGAGAGCAGTTCTCCCAGGGAGGTCCCGGGGCATCATGATCTTAGAAGTATGGGAAGACATGAGGGTTCTGGGTCCTGGAGCTGTCTGTGCCATTGTGTCTGACTGACTGCCCAGGCATCTCCTTCATGAGATTCTTTTAAAATAGTCAGATGAGGCTGGGCGTTGTGGCTCAAGCCTGTAATCCCAGCACTTTGGGAGGCTGAGGTGAGAGGATTGCCTAAGCTCAGGGGTTTGAGACCAGTCTGGGCAACTTGGTGAGACCTAATCTCTGCAATAAATTTAAAAAAATTAGCCAGGCTGGATGGCACGCACCTGTAGTTCCAGCTACTTGGAAGGTTGAGGCAGAAGGATCACCTGAGCCCAGCAGGTCGAGGCTGCAGAGGCCGTGAGCATGCCACTGCACTCTAGCCTGGGCGACAGAGTAAGACTGTGATTCAAAAAAAAAAAGAGTCAAATGGAGTAATGTGCAAAGAACTTTAGAGATAGTATTAGGATATGCTAAAGCAACTGTTTTATTGCTGATGATTCTTACAAGAGTTGTCTGAGAAAGATCCAATATGATCACTTTGTATAGTTTCAACAGATCCTACGTGTAAAAGGGTAAATGTGGAAACCAATTAAAATGTCCAGATTCTCATTACAGGTTATCCTTTTAAAAAAATAATACTAGGACTGTAAATGAGGAATGCTTTTCACATGTAAGTTTTTACTTTCTAGTTAGACCAGTTATTGAAGCTTAAGATCGTTTACTACACCAGGCACAATGGCTTATGTCTGTAATCCCAGCCCTTTGGGAGGCAGAGGTGAGAAGATTGTCTGAGCCCAGGGGTTCGAGACTGGTCTGGGCAACTTGACGAGACCTTGTCTCTACAATAAATAAATAAAAATTAACTGGGCATAGTGGCACATACCTGTGAGGTATTTGGAAGGCTAAGGCAGAAGGATCACCTGAGCCCAGCAGGTTGAAGCTGTGGTGACTGTGAGCATTCCACTGCACTCCAGTCTGGGTGACAGTGAGATTTTAACTCAAAAAAACAAAAAAAAAGATCATTTACTGCTAAACAGTGATTTTTACTGGTAATAAAAATCAGCTCAGTATTCCTTAATACTCATTGCAGTGAACTCCTAAAGTGCAGGGATGGAGTTTTAGATAGAGACAATAGAGTAATACGTGAATTCTGGCTCTTGGCTTGTCAGATAGGACCTTAGGTAAGGTAGTTAACGTCTGTGTGCCTGCGTTATTTTCATCTGTAAAATGGGTAAACATAACAAATTAGTTTATTAAATCTTTTCAGTGTCTGTCTTTGAGTCTTAAAGTCTTCAGAAACATAAAACATATGTCTACACATAAGTAGACATTCTTATTTAGTGAATGGGTAATCTCCTCTTAGTATTTAGAGTTATTTTATTTATATTAAATTTTTAAAAATTTTATTTTTAGAGTCACTAGATAAATATTGTGATATAAAAATTTACAGAGATATAAAAATTAAGTTGGATTGGTTGGCATAGAAAAAGGAATGTTGAGGAGAACATTTCTCAAGGTCATTCCTCAAGGTCTCACCCTCTTGCCTAGGCTGGAGTGCAGTGGCACAATCATGGCTCACTGCAGCTTTAACCTCCTGGTCTCTGGTGATCCTCCCACCTCAGCCTCCCAAGTAGCTCGGATTTCAGGCACATGCTACCACAGCTGGCTGTATTTTTAATCCACTTTATTTTAAAAACAAATTTGCATATGTCTTGTTTAGTTGATATCAGTTTGCAGTTCCCTGTTATCATGCCAGCTGACAGTGAGCTGAAGATGAGGGAGGAGAAACACGCCCATAGTATATAAGAGCATGAGGTAGAATGGAATGCTTGCATGGTTAAACGTTGTCGTGCTTTGAACTTAAGTGTTAAGTATTAATTGAACTTGAAATTTTTACTTGAGGAAACAGTTATGTTAGGCGTTTTTGCTGAAAAATCACTAGAAGAAAAAAATGGAATATTTAGAGAGTAGAGGAGCCTAAAGTTAAAAGTGAAACAGGGCATTGGCATTACATGCTTTTTAATGCAGATACGTATATGGTAATGTTATAGATATTATGTATTAATTAGAGTCCTGCTCAGGTATGTACACAGATTTTCCCTTTTATGTTTCTGAAGACTTTAAACAAAAAGCAGACATTGAAATAATAAAGAATCGGCTGGGCCAGGTACAGTGGCTCATGCCTACAATTTCAGCACTTTGGGAGGCTGAGGTGAGAGGATTACCTGAGCCCATAGGTTCGAGTCCAGCCTGAGCAACTTGGTGAGACCTCATCTCTACAATAAATCAAAAAATTAGCCGAGTGTGGTGGTATGTGACTGTAGTTTCAGCTACTTGGAAGGCTGAGGTGGAAGGATCGCCTGAGCCCAGAAGGTGAAGACTGCAGTTGCCGTGAGTGTGCCACTGCACTCCAGCCTTGGCGACAGGGTGAGACCCCACCTCAAAAAGAAAAAAAAAAAAAAGAATCAGCTGACAGGTAGATGGGGATGTGGTCTCAGGAGGATGAACTCTGGGAGACATAGTCACATCTGTAAAAATCACTATGCTGGGACTGGAAGGAAAGACCTGTTACTGGGACTCAGGAGTCTGCGATGCTTGTCCTGGTTGACCCAGTTGTGCCAAAACCCTGAATTTCACTGGGTCCCCTTGTGCTTTTGGAAAATATGTATGTTCTCTGTGCACCTGCCATGGGATACTGTGATCAGGAGAAGATGAGATGATAGAAAGAATTTTGCTAATTAAAAGCATTAGATAGGCCGGGTACAGTGGCTCACGCCTATAATTCCAGCACTTTGGGAGGCAGAGGCTAGAGGTCTGCCTTGGCCAAGGGGTTCTAGACCAGCCTGGGCAATTTGGCAAGTCCTCATTTCTACAGTAAACCAAAAAATTAGCCAGGTGTGGTGGTGCACGCCTATAGTTCCAGCTATTGGAAGGCTGAGGCAGAAGTATCGCCTGAGCCCAGCAGGTTGAGGCTACAGTGATTGTGAGCATGCCACTGCATTCCAGCCTGGGTGACAGAGTGAGACTCCAACTAAAAAAAAAATTTTTTTTTTAAAAGCACTACATAAATATAAAGATGTAAAAATTAAGGAGACATAATAAGGTTGGATTTGTTGGCATAGGCAAATAAATTTTCTAAAAAACTTTTTACTTTAAAGATGTGACTTTAAAGATGTGAGGTAAAATTCATGGTTAGGTTTACAAATGTTTATTATGCAGGTACCCTTGTTGATGAGGTATACCCCCCCTTCCCCTGGCAGTTTCCTGCTACTGCCAATCCTGCCCCTGCTCCGCTGGCAGTTTCCCATTACTGCCAATTCCTTTCTTTCTTTCTTTCTTTTTTTTTTTGAGTTGGCCGCTCCCCGCCACTGCAGCCTCGACCTGCTGGGCTCTGGCGATCCTTCTGCCTCAGCCTTCCAAGTAGCTGGAACTACAGGCACGCGCTACCACTCCTGGCTACTTTTTTTGATTTATTGTAGAGATGAAGTCTTACCATGTTGCCCAGGCGGGTCTTGAACCTGCGGGCTCAGGCAATCTACTCACCTCATCCTCCCAAAACGCAGGGTTACAGACTGAGCCACCGAGCCCTGCTCCGGCTACTTTTTTGATGTATTGTAGAGATGAGGTCTCGCCAAGTTGCCCAGGTGGGTCTCGAACCTGTGGGCTCTGGCAATCCACTCTCCTCAGCCTCCCAAAGCGCTGGGATTACAGGCTGAGCCACAGAGCCCGGCGCCAATCCCTTTCTTTTTTATTTTACGATAATTGTTCAAGATCCACTTATGAGTGAGAACATGTGATACTCGGTTCTTTGTTTCTGTGATAGATCACTCAGTATTAGGAATCTTGAGGAGAACATTCCTCAAAGTCATTCAGCTCCTTTTGCTCAAACTCTGAAGTCATTAAGTGTCTTTGTGATTGAAAATATTTGGTATCTCAAGTGGATCCACTCATTGCTGAAGAGGTACCATGAGTTGACAAGCTCATTCACGTTCATGGCAAATTAACACATTTCTGATTTATAAGTATTTGATTGGTTTGAATGAATTTACTAGGATTTGCTCAACAATGGATGACCTGGTCAAATCCTGTTTCAGACCTAATCTGGAAGCCTACAAGTGACAGCAGCCCTCAGGGTCCTTAGCCAACTTGACCTGCAGGAGAACACATGAAAGAAAGGTTTGTTTCTGCTGAATGTAATTTATGAAAGTCCCTAAAAATAAAAGTATAATCATAAAGCCGACAGTTCTGTTTTCTTCTTTTCAGAATCCCAAGAGGCTTTGTTGTCTGTGAAAAAGTGTTTCTGTACATTTGCTCCAATGACAGAGTTACCTGCTCCTTTGTCCTACTTCCAGAATGCACAGATGTCCGAGGACAACCACCTGAGCAATACTGTACGTAGCCAGGTACAGTGTCAGCCTCTGAACTGTTCTTTCTTGACTGTGGATTCAGGTATGGCCCCTCGCCTCCTAGAGGGACTGAGTAACCTTTCTCTCCTTCGTCATATTACTTGTTGAGCTTCAGCTGATCACTGGGGGACAGAGGCTACTTAAGATGTGGATACTGATGTAGTTCCTCCTGGGCTCAGAAGTCACCTCAGTTGAAGCCTTCTCCAGCCTCCTGAGGTGGCAATGCTTGATAGTAAGCATTGTCCATCCTCTGACCTGTTTTGCTATTACTCTTCTATAGGCTGAGTCCGTTTCATTTATTGAGTTTGGTACCTAGCACAGTTCTGGCTGTGCTTAGTAAATGTTCATTGACAGAATGATTGTACAACGTGAGGCTAAGTGCAGAAGTGCTAAGAGTTCAGAGGGGGAGTCAAGAAAGGCATGTCATCTGTGCCATGGGACAAAGATTCTTCACCGGCTGTATACACACAGACATCAAGTTTACCTGCAACCCTATTAGCTAATCATTACAGGTTGAGTGTAGTTTCTACAGATGTCCTGTGAGATGGCTGGAGAATCAGTACGATTTTTAGAGATGGAGTCAGAATGGAGGAAAATGCAAGGCATACTATAAGCTGTGTAGACACACTAGTGGATCGAGAAGTCAGACTGTCCTCTGTTAGGGCCAGAGGGCAGAGCTAGAAACAGTGGTAGAAGTTACCAGGAAATAGGTTTTGGATCAGTAAAAATAATTTTCTTGTGACTGGGTGTGGTGGGGCATACTTGTAATCTGAGCTACTCATGAGGTGAGGGCAGGCAGATTGCTTGGTCCAGGAGTTGGAGACTAGCCTTGGCAACATAGCAAAACCCTATCTCAAAAAAAAAAAAGAACTTTCTCACAATCACAGTACATCTGAAAGACCATGGGATGCCTTGTAGTCTAGTGTGTACTTATCACTAAAAGTAGCCAGAGAGAGCTGGAAGACGACTGGTCAGATCTTCAGAGGATTATTCTGTGGAATGAACAGTTGTACCAGAGACTCGATGGTCTGGAAGCTCTCTTTACACTTTGAAGACCTGAGATTCCATTAGGTGATTTACTAGATAGTTTCAAAATTCTCTCCCAGCCTGAAAGTTCTGTCACCATGAGTTAAGATGGCCAACTGTCCCAGTTTACCTGAGGCTAGAGGTTGTGGAACACAGAACTTTCAGTTTTAAAACTGGGACAAGCCGGGCTCAGTGGCTCAGCCTGTAATCCCGTGCCTTTGGGAGGCTGAGGTGAGTGAATTGCCTGAGCCCGCGGGTTCGAGACCCGCCTGGGCAACTTGGCGAGACCTCATCTCTACAATAAATCAAAAAATCAGCCAGGCGTGGTAGCGCATGCCTGTAATTCCGGCTACTGGGAAGGCTGAGGCGGAAGGATTGCCGGAGCCCAGCAGGTCGAGGCTGCGGTGGCCAGGAGCGGCCACTGCACTCCAGTCTGGGCGACAGAGTGAGACTCCAACTCAAAAAAAACAAAAAACAAAAAACTGGGACAGTCCTGAGCAATTAGCATCAAGCTGGTTACTCTACCAGAAGTATAATGAAGCTGAAATAACTTTGGATCCACTAACCATTCCATTAGGTGAATTTTTCACGTGGCTCCACGTACTGTTATGGTTATATATTATTAACGTTTAAGTAGAAGGTAATATCTGCCGGGCTCAGTGGCTCAGCCTGTAATCCCGCACCTTTGGGAGACTGAGATGTGAGCGGATTGCCTGAACCCGCGGGTTCGAGACCCGCCTGGGCAGCGAGACCTCACCTCTACAATAAATCAAAAAATCAACCGGGCATGGTAGCGCATGCCTGTAATTCCAGTTACTTGGAAGGCTGAGGTGGAAGGATCGCTGGAGCCCAGCAGGTCGAGGCTGTGGTGGCTGGGAGTGGCCACTGCACTCCAGTCTGGGTGACAGAGCGAGACTCCAACTCAAAAAAAAAAAAAAAGAAGATAATATCTAAAACATTTTTCTTGTTCCAAAGGTTAAACATTGCCCTTTGCTTCTTTCTTCAACTCTCAGCAAGTCTTGTGCTGGACTGCTATAGCCTGGAAAATGAGTTTTCATTTTGGTTTGCTGTGTATAATCTCATTCACAGTGAAGGGTTTTGAAGTTTGATGACAGTGGAAGACTTGAAAGTAGTGCCTTTTTTTTTTTTTTTTTTTTTTTTTTAGTTGGAGTCTCACTCTGTCACCCAGGCTGGAGGGAGGGTAGTGGCATGCTCCCGATTACCACAGCCTCGACCTGCTGGGCTCAGGCAATCCTTCTGCATCAGCTTTCCAAGTAGTTGAAACTACAGGCACGTGCCAACATATCTGGCTAATTTTTTGATTTATTGTAGAGATGAGGTCTCACCAAGTTGTCAAGGTTGGTCTCGAACCCATGGACTCCCAAAGTGCTGGGATTATAGGCATGAACCACTGTGCCCGGCCCTAGGTTTTTAACCCAAGTATTTATTTCTCAAATTTTTGTTGTGTAATGTTTCAAGCATACACAGAAACGTATGATCAATAATATAATAAGCACCCATGTACCTATAACCCAACTTATTAAACTGAAACATCTCATTTTCTGTGTATACCTTGTTTTTGAAGATTATTTTCACTAAGCCTTTTCTGTTTCTATTTATTGATCCTACACTAAATGAAATTCTAACTAAAGTCAAAATTTTGCATTTAATTTGAAAAAAGAGACTGGTTATATGACAACAAAAAACTGCAGATAAAATTGAAATGCCCCTCCCCGAGTCTTCTTCCTTCTTTCCCAGGGTAATTACTATCCCAAATTTGGTGTTTTCATGCTTACCATACATTTCTGTGTACATGAGGAACAACAGGCACTAGACACTGCTAAAGGAGGGAAGAGGGATAGGGCATACAACCACACACTGGATACCAGGTCCACTACCAGGGTAAGTGAGGGCTTGCTAGAAGCCCAAACTTCACCTGCATGCAATTTACTTATGTAGTAAACCCTTACATGTACCCCACTCCAAAATAATATATTTATGTACATAAATAATATATTATATAATACTTGTGCATACAACTAGCTGAGTTGTGGGCAGTGGAGGAATTTGTTCAAGTCAGTTTATGAATTAAGAAGGGCATATTTATTAAAGGCAAGAGAGCAATGAGCAATGAGCAAGGAAGTCTGCTGTCTGCCAAGAGGCAGGGGCCAGAGGGGAGTTTTATAGGGCTATGCTGGGTAGTTTACATGTGGTGTGAGGGGTTTGGGGAGGGAAGTTAGCTACATGCTGTGTGAGGGGTCTGCAAAGCAGGTTGATTATGTTGATCTGTTCCTTAAGACAGGGTTAATTTACAGCAGTGGTTAACTGCTTTTCTCTTTATAGTGGACAGTTAAAGATTAATTTACAACAATGATTTACAGCAGTCAGCAAGCTTTTACCACTCTTACTGTGGTAAGTTACTTGTATTTCATCTTCAGGCTTCTTTCCTCAGTATAATTTACCCAATTGTTGCTGGCCTATTTGGGCCTTATATTTTTCTCCACGGTACTACTTTGCATGTTTTAAAACTTTATATGAATTAAAGTGTATGTGTGTCTAAAAGTTGAAGACAGTTTCTACGTTTTTGAAATTCATGTATGTTGCAGAAGAGATTCCCATATTCTTGGAATTTATGCATATGTAGATGTTTGTAGCTCTAGGTCAGCCCAACCTTTTTAGCATCAGAGACCAATTTCAAGGAAGACAATTTTTCTATGACCTGGAGGGTGGATTTTGGGGATGATTCAAGCGCAATACATTTATTGTGCACTTTTTATTTCTATTTTTACACAATAATATATAATTTAATATGTAGCATACTGCCTCAGGTCCTCCTCAGATCATTGGGCGTTAGACTCTTAAGGAGAGTGCAACTGAGATCTCTTACATGTGCAGTTCACAATAGGATTCTCACAGGAGTGATCTGACAGAAGGTGGAGCTCAGGTGGTAATGTGAACAACAGGGAGCAGCTGTGCTCTGCTCCATGCCTGCCACTCGCCTCCTGCTGTGTACAGCCCAGTTCCTGTACCAGTCCGTGGCCTGGGAATTGGGGATCTCTGCTCTAGTTTATTCATTTTCTCTTTGAATATATAAAAATTACCTATTTTGTATACAAATACTTGGTAGTTTCCAATTTTTCACAGTAACCATGCTACAGTGGCATACTGATTCCTTAATCCTTATGCACTTTTGTGAGTTTCTTAAAGATTGCTGTGATTGAGTATATGGATCTTAAACTACAAAATCTGACAATTAAGTTTGTGAGCTCATCCTAGAAAAAGTGCTGCATACCTCATTGCTGAATATCGCTACAGTTACCTTTTTGAAGTAATCTCCTTAGGAAGCTATGCACTGAAGCCAGCACCTAGTCCACCTGTCAATGCGGTTTTTGAACTCTTTTGTTTTTTGAATTGGAGTCTCACTCTGTTGCCCAGACTGGAGTGCAGTGGCATGCTCACAGCCACCACAGCCTCGACCTGCTGGGTTCAGGCAATCCTTCCACCTCAGCCTTCTAAGTAGCTGAAACTACAGCCATGTGCCACCACACAAAGCTAATTTTTTGATTTGTTGTAGAGATGAGGTCTCACCAAGTTGCCCGGGCTGGTCTCGAACCCATGAGCTCAGCCAGTCCTCTCACCTTGGCCTCCCAAAGCACTGGGATCATAGGCGGGAGCCACTGCGCCCAACTTGAACTCTTTTTCTGGAATGTCCATCAGAGCTATTGTTTTCCCCTGATGTCCTGAATGTCATCTAAATGTCTTTCTTTCAATATTTTCTTTATCTTCAGGTAAAGAGAAAAGTCACTGGGGGCTAGATCAGGTGAGTAGGGAGGGTGTTCCAATACAGTCATTTATTTACTGGCTAAAAACTCCCTCACAGACAGTGCTGTGTAAGCTGGTACAATGTTGTGATGCAAGAGCTCCTTCAGGACCATTTTTGCACACACCAGTTTCATGCCAAGATTTTCAGT